TTTTCTACAGATTTTCCAGGGTTTAAGCATTGCTTGCTGTATAAAAAACTTTACTGAATTATATACAGTTTGAATGAAATGTTATTTTAAAAACAAAACAATTGTTAAGTGTTCCATAAAGGTTATGTTGAATTTTGGTCAGATGAATATTTGTAAGTAAAAAATATATGCATTTCTGAACCTCAACTTACATAGATTTTCTTTATATATAAAAAAAAAGAAAAACAAAAAAAGAAAAAGATTGGCTATAGTTGGCCTGAATAACAGGCACGATATATGGTGCTGTGCAAAATAGTAAGCTAGCATCTTACTGCCGTCAATATCAGCCTAATTCAATAAGCTCTCAGGCTTCCAAGTCAGATGGACAGGGTGGAGTAGAGTGAGGGGACACATTTACCATAGGTTTTTTTGAAGCATCAAAGGGAAATAGAACTACTGATAGTGAAAGCCCAGCCGTGACTCTGGTGGGCTACCCTTGGCAGGAACTGGGCACCAAGTGCCCTAAGCCCCGTCATTGATATAGCAGTATCCGGCAGGATTTAGAACCAGTCATAGAACCTTATGCTCAAAATAAAGTAGGTCATCACTTCCTGGAAACAAAGTCCAATCACCTTGTGCTTCCGGAAACAGCATATATCACTGTGAAACTAAAGAAAGTTTTAGAGAACCATCTGTAGAAAGCAGCAAAGAACAGGATAGTTTAGAAAGCTGTTTTTCTCTTAGCTAACTCAGCAATTCCACACTAGTCATTCAGGACTGTTAGTGAGTGTCCTTTTGTAAAGTAAAATAGAAATTTTAGTAAAAGATGCGGCTAAGATCTTTTCCTGCTCGAAGCCAAAAGCACGGAAGTTTGAAAGAAGGAAAGAGACTCTCTCCAGGCCGACCGAAGATGACTTCTTTTCACAGCGGATATTGCTCAGCCCTTCTGTAAGCCCTTAGCTTGGCGCCTGCTCCAACATCTGGGTCAGCTTCAAGGTGAACTCAACAGAGGTTTCTCTTGACTGTTCGAAGGTAGAACGAGCCTTCCTTTTCCCTTTGTTAAAAGGTCAAAGGCCCTATGGCCAGGAAGCGGAGTCTGCGGCCCAGAAGCTTGCCACGAGTGTGTGCCACTGCAGGGTCCCAAGCACACCAGCCACTCCTGATGAGGTTGCTTGCGTTGAAGCCACCCCATCACCAACCTGTACCTTCCTTGGAAGATTCAAATATGTTTGATTGCAAATGAATGTTTTAAATGTATTTAATGCAATTTTTCTTGTTCTCAACATGACCACCCAAGATTCAAACACAGAGATTTCCAAGTGGTTATTTTTTTTAGAACATCACCGATTTAAAAATCTGTCACAACAATTATTTGGGTTTTGTGCAGCTATCCGTGTGCTAACGTGAGAGAGCCAGTTTAAAGAAAATCTAGTTTATTGGGAATAAAGCCTCATTTAGGCCCACTCCATTGACATTTCTAGTACTGAGAAAATATCCTTGTTTGGCATTTGTAACACAAGGCACTATAGAGTTGGTATTTAAAAGTACCAGGTAAATATAAAGAAACCAATAATGAATTGCTGAGACAATCTTGAACTCAGATAGCATTAGAAAGCTGAAGGCCCAATGAAGTAACACTTTCACACGTAAACTCTGTGGCTAAATCTTGCCTGTGGCTATAAACAAATGATCAAAGAAAAAGTGCTTTACTATATAATTAACTTTCTGATTTGAATGAAGGAAAATGTATTTATTAAAACGAAGCTGTTTGCTGCTTTACACAGGTGCAGTGTTCAGTCAGCAAGGAAGTGGGAGGAATGGGACGTGATCTTGTGTCTCCACCCAAGTTCTTAACTAAGCTTCTCGCTCTCTCTAATACTGCATTCTGTTTCTCCTTTTGTGCCCTGATTGTAACCCAAAATTTATGAACTAGAAAAGAATGTCCAATTTAATAAGTTGCATTTTTTTTCCTTAAGCACTTTATGCAGAACAGTACATGTTCTTCTGGTAGTGTTTGGATAATATGATTTTAACACATGCAAATAAAAGCCAAGAAAGATCATGGCAACTTCTATAAAGGAGTCTGTTTTCCAAATGTCTAGAACATTAGGAGACATTAGGAGATAATGTGTACTGGCTTCTACAACCTGTGATTCTTGGTGAATAAGAAACCAGGACGTGACTTTGTATTTTAGAGATGGCGGCTGGTGGTCAGTACAGGTTCCAGGGGCATCTGTAGCATTCTGGGCACCCCTCTCTTGGCCTCCTGAAGGCTAACAGACCCTTTACAGGTGGTCACTCCCAGCCACTGGGACCCCCCCATGTTGTTTCTACCTCCTCCGTCCTCTCCTCTTCCCTTTATGTATGCTGCACCTCCACTGCCATCACCTGCTGGCCTCGGGCCCAAAGTCTGGCAAATGACCAGCTGCACAGTGCACAACCGGCTGCTGTCGGTCTGCAGGGATCCGTGGGCGCGCTTCACGCAGTGTGCGCTGCCTTCTCCCCATCTCTAAAATGTAGAGAAGCTCCTCTTACCTCCTGGTCTCACTCGATACAGAGAGAAAGCCAAGGACATCTGCCCCAGAGCACGGGGAGAAGGGTGGTGAGGCAGCAGGCAGGGGAGGGAATGCCTCTGTCCCAGGGGAAACTTGGAAGTGAGGCCTGAGAAAGGGGGAGGAGATAGGGGGACTGCCCCCAGGTCCTGTTTGAGAGCCGACAGAGAGGACTTGCCACCTGGGATAGGGCTGGTGCTGCCCCAGTCCTACCCCAGGCACCGACTTTTCTTGATTGCTGAGCAAAGAGGCACATGGTAGTTCCTAGCATGAGGGAAAACTTGGTCTATGACCTGGCTTCAGAGAAGACTGAGGGAACCCCCATCCTCAAGTGCCACATCATGGCCTACTTGGGCCACATGCCTTTCCTCCCTCTATCTCTGCAGCCCCTGGCTCCTGGCCTTGTCCACTAAGCAGTCACCTGCCCAGTCTCGCTGAGGTGGAGGGCCAGAGCCAGTTTTTAGGAAGGAGCCAGCCCTCCACCCTGTCAGGCACTCACACCCAGGAGCTGAGAGGCCTTAATGCCCAAAACTGGCCATCTGCAGCCCCTGGTTTTCTTCTGTTGGAGGAACCCAGGTGCACAGTGTCTGCCAAGGAGGTCCATCCTCAAGAGTTGGCCAACATTGTAGCCACTCTCAGGAGCCTTCTCTTTCCCCTTCTGCCATGAACCTTCTAGATTCTGAGAAAAGAAATGCCCTACCATGTAATGGAAGGAAGGGCTGTGTCAACACCCCTCCCTCTCTAGTCCTGTCACCTAATGTGCCTCATGCTTGCTCTTTCCCAGCCCTGCCACTCCCGGCTACTTCCCGGAAAGGTTTAAAGATCATCACAGACACCAACACATCACCTCCCTCCCCAACAGGCTCAGTTCCCTCACCTACTCTTCCTCTCCCCTCTTTTAGAGGCCTTGGTTCCTCCATTTCTCATCTCTCTCCAGTGATGAGATGATCTTCCAAGGAAGATCCTTGGCTTCCCAGCTTCTGGGCAGATAAGGTAGCCGTCAACTGAGTACACCCCCAAATAGCTCATTCAGAGCCACACAATACCCGTGGTATGGAAGACAAGGCATAGGGCTCCAGTGCATGCTTTTTCTCCAAAGCATGACCAGCTCTGAGGTGGGCACAGAGCAATCGAGCCCACTCACCAAGGGAAGAGCACAACCCGAAGGCAGGCTGGGGTTCCGTGGATTGGGAACAGTGGATTCAGCTTCCTCGAGGCATCCTGTCAGGGAGAGTTCCATTGTTTCACAAGGGGGCCTATACAGATGCGGATGAGCACAACGGGCATTCGCGTTTCCATCCAGAGGTGACACAAAGTCACGGGGAACACAGCCACCCACTCAGTGTCACAGGCTCTGGTCTCCACCTTCAGGCAGCCTGACTCATCCTTCACTCTCCAGTGCCCGCACAGTGCCTTGTGCTACAGGCTGCGGAAGGAGTAATGCACCCATGAAGAGCAGTCTTCTGGGAGCTAACTGCCCATTTAAAGAACGTCAAGTCAGAGGAACAGAGTTCTCTGGAGAAACCAGCAAGTGAGAAAGAAATCACTGACATTTGCCTAGTGATGTAGAACGCTGCCTTTTGCTTAGTCAGAGAGGAAAGAGTATGCCTGGGCTTAGTGAATTTATAAATAAACTGGAGAGCAAACTGGTAAAAAAAGAATGGCTGTGCGTGTTAATATTCATGGGGTAATAACAGTTACTTTTTACTGAAAACCTGGATCCCTCAAGGCCACAACCGTGGAGAGACAGCTAAACCAGGCAATTTAGTGGAAGCTGGAGGCAACCTGGCTCCACTACGAGCACTCAGGTTCTAAAATTAGGCTCTAGCCAGAATCAGAAACCAAAAAAAAAAAGGAGGGGGGAGGGAGTGTTAAGAAAATTTGACGAACCCTGTTTCCAAGTGTAACCCCAAGCATTGCTTCATGAACACACCCTGATTTACAGAGGCCCCAGATGGCAAATCTGGCAGTGTGACAACTGTCCATGTGGCTTGGGTAGGCAGCATGAAGATTTAAAGCCTATTTATACCTACTTTCCGTCAAGACAATATGATATGCCTGGAAGTATCATATCCAATCTTGTTGCACTGTTTTCAAATTCATAGTTAACCAAGTTAAGCTCTAAACTGGTTTAATTCAAAAAGTAGATTTATTGTTGGGGGAACACTGTCCTATGTAACTCAGTGCCCCTGTGATGACACCATATCACAGCAGAGTACAATAACTAATGTCCGTGTATTTTGTAAAATCCCAGAGATAGCAAACAAAAAAAGTTCATATATGTTCTACCTACTATTTAATAAGGCAGGAAAGTATATTTTTTTATTAGTCATGAAAGGTAGCTAAACCGAAAAAATGTTGGTGCTCAAAGAGTAAGATCTAATGCCAGAGGTTTCTTTATGTGCAGCAGACACAAGAGCACTGACATTTCGTCTGGGAAGCTCACCCCTGGTCACTTGCACGGCCATCTCAATCCACGTCCTCAGGGCAGTGAACCACCTGGGTGGGGCCCACAGCTCCTTCAGCCTCGTGGCCTGTGGGACAACAGATTTTCTGTAGGACTTCCGAAACACGGTCCTGTCCCCGTCCTCTGTCCCACACACCGTCCACAAAGAAACAGAGGAAGGGGAACAGACTACATCACAGAGGATGCCGTTAGCGGGCAGGGTGGAAGGGACAGCAAAGACAGGTCCTAATGTGTGTGTTTGGGAGTGGGAATTCAAGAATTAAGGAGAATGTACAACATTTGTTGAGCAATCAATGCATTCGGGCACCAGGCCGAGAACTTTGCATCCTTGTCTGCTTGCATCTTCACAAGAGCCCTATGAGGAAGAGGATCATTACGGAGGTATTATTATGGGGCTGTCGTAGGTCTATCGTCTCCATTTCACACATTCCCCAAAAAGGTAAGCAACTTTCCAGAGGCTATTCAGCTGGTAAACAGTGGAACCAGGATTCAAACTCAGGATTATCTGTTTCCAGTGCCCTTGACCCCTGCCCTTAGCAGAAAAGGCTCTGGGTAAGTTGAAAGCACACTCTGCTCCTGACCACTGAGAAGGTATGACGCATCAAAGTGGCAGAACGTCAGCACCCCAACGAAGCTGCTTCAGTCATGCCCGCTGGAGGCTGTGTACTTATTCCCAGGATGTGGTCTGGGCTCAGACCCTTCTGGAATTGTCCCCTGTGCTTATTATTACCTGAGGCCCAAAAGTCAGCCTCATGATCTCCCAGCACTAATAGCCCCAATGAGTACTCCCCAGCCAGTTTGCTCTCCTCCTTCCCCAGACTTGGCCCTGAGTTATAACTACTTATTTCCAGTCACCCCCAAAAGGGCAAAGATGTCCCATGACCCTGGGCAAATAAAGAAATGCATCATGGGCCCTCTCTGCGGCAGGTCCCCAGAGGAAAGCTGGCCCTAGCAGTGCTACGGTCACCAGAGTGTTTCTTCCGGTAGGGGGATGGCTTTGAAGAACCACAGTACACACTTGGATGTATAAACTTGGTACTTCCCCATGATTTCTCAACTCCCTAAACTCCATTACACTCTCAGCTTGTCCCTCAGCTGGCAGTTGAGAGTGGCAAGGATTAAATAAGGGCCAGCAAGGGTCCACTCCCATCCTACCTTACCTTGCCCTCAAACCACCTATTGTTACTTGGCTAGATTCAGATTTTGAGGAGACCATGAACAAATCAAACATTTAGGTAAATATATTGGTTAAAACCCAAGCATGTAGGGACACAGAGGTTATTACCAATTCAGATCTTCATGCAGCCTTCTCCCTGACGCATCCTTTGCTGTTCCCAGGGTATTCAAGCCCTAGCCCCTTCCAGCTCACTTCAGGTTCAGACCAGAAGCATGCACCTCAGCAGCAGGAGCAGCACAGCCCAGGCCTGGTTCTTGCGTAATGGGGTAAGTCACATGCACTCTAGACTCCTTGGGTTTCTCACCCAGATTCAGAGGTGATGACCAGCATGCTTTCCCCAAAAAGGGGGGACTGAGGGATATGAGGGTCACAGCAGGCTTCAGACAGAGGGCCCCTCTGCTTCTCAGCAACCCCGCCAGGGTTTAGCATAGGGTGTGCACACACAGAGGAAGTGAGGGGGTAGCATTTGGCCTCTGATGGGCTTTGATGTAGGCTTCCAGAAAGTTATATTTTCCCAGTGGTTTCCACAGGAAAATGTAGAGTAGCTTTGCAACAAAAGTATGGCTCTAAAGTAATACAGGAAAAACAATGTAATGAGGTATTAAAATGCAATACCGTTACTCTGAAAATGCAAAACAGATCAGGACTGCTACTGACGTCGCATACTGGTTTCTGATTTCTGAACAGGACCTTATTAGATTGAAGGCTTGGTTACCACATAGCTATTATCGGTCCCCGCCGCATACTCACTGCAGATTTAATAAAGACCAAACCTGCCTCAATGACTTACCCAGAGGGGCTTCTTGAACTTGATCTGGAAACTTAAAACTGGGGAAAAGCAAAGCCAGTTCTCGGCTGGCGTCTTCTCCATCTCGGCTTCCATGGACCGCATTAAAGGGCATCTCTGTGCCGTACTGAGCGCGGAGACTGGAAACATTGGCAAAATGTACAAGACACAATTGTTTCATTTGAAAAGAAATGTTTTTCTCTCTGGCAACATGGTCACCAGCTACCAATCAGCACCCTGTGTTTCTGTAAAATGGCTTTCTCTCTGTTGAAAATGCCAAGAACAACAGCCAGGAGGGTAGTCGCTGACACCTACCCCGTCGTGGCGGCGTTCTGGGCATGTTGCCGGGTGCTTCACATACATGCTCTTATTTAATTTGCATGGCCGCGCTGGGAGGGAGACTGTTATGAGCCCCAGTTTACAGATGCATGAGTCACGGTATATCCCAGAAGCTGCCATTTTGTCGCTGTTACAGCTGAGGCTAGCGTTCTGCCAAGGGCTTGATTCAGTTTGCATGGTTAATGCCCCAGTAACCCCATGAGTTGATGCTAGGACTTCCTGTATGTCAAGCTCTGCCCTAAGCAATATATATATTCATTTAATCTGCACATCAACGTCTGGGGCAGGTCCGACTACTATAGCACCTATTTTTCAGATGAGGAAATCAAGAAACAGAGAGATGAAAGCTGGCCCCACGTCACATAGTAAGAGGAAAAAGAGATCCCGAAAGCTGTGCACTGTACAGTCTCCCCCGTTAGATGCTCATATCCCCATTTACAGACAAGAGAACTGAGGTTCAGGGAAGGGACCTGCCTGAGTATGTGGTAACCTAAGATCTGAGCACTGGGCTTTTCTTTCACTGCCTCATATGTGAATGTTCCTGGCCCCTTACAACTACCAGGTACAACCTCGGCTACTTGGTCTCTTGCTAATTTCTTTCCTACTCGCTGGGCCTCTCATTTTCAAAGAAAAGACCCAGTGAATTTGGCATTGGTGGTGCCCGGCTAGATAACACACAGGGGCAACGAGCAGACCTTGCCCCTAGCACAGTACGCAGAACAGGGTGCTCATGCTCAGGACACCCTGGGTAGGGTGTAGAGGTGCAGAGGGTTGAGTCTACAATGCATATTCCTAGCTCCCAACCAGAGTTTCTGACGTGGCAGGCCTGGGCAGGGCCCTGGAATCTGTATTTCCTGCATAAGTGTTGAAGGTAGTCCTGGGACCATACTACGGGACCCTCTGGCTACAGAGAGAACAGCGAGGACTGGATCCAGCCGCAGCCTTCGGAACAGGGCAGAGTAGGGGAGGAGGCAGCAAGGAGGCAGATCAGAGGAGGCACTCAGTGAAGGGCTGGGGACTGGATCAGAGAGTGAGAATGGCAGGATGTCCTCAAATACATAACAAAGAGGTCAGGGTCTCCCCAAATATATAACAAAGGGGGAGCTTCATGGCCATCAGAGAGCCCTATGTGTTACCCACGATTCTGGGCTAAGCATCGAGCAGGGCTCTCTGCTTCCTTGGATGCAGGTTTTGAGATAAATGAAAGGACCACAGCTGGTGACATCACCTGTCAGGCTGCTTCATCCTTGCCACGTTGGGGTCACAGGGTCCCATGAGGGTTCGCCAGGCGGTGACAACGTCCTCGGTGCCCTCAGTCCTGGTAAGGATCAGAAGGCGGCTTGGTCCACTGCACATGTGATGTACCAGCTTCTCAAATGCCTCCTGAAACATGGAAGAGAAACGGGGACCCAGCAGAGGCTCAGCTGGCTCATCCCACCAGCAGCCTTGCCACCAGCCAGCATGCCTGTGGAGGGAGCCAGGGAGAGGTGGCGGTGATGCCCCACCACACCCAGAGAACCCAGATATAAGTTAAAGGCAGAAAGATGAGACTTTGAGTCGACTCGTTTTTTGATTGAACATGAGACTATAATAGATTACGTAGGCGCATTTGAAAGACCACATAGATGGAAATCATGTGGATGCTGAATAACCAAGGGGTAGGATGTAGTTGAGACTCTTTTTAAGTGCCTCTTTTTAACCCTTCCCCCTTCTTCATGTAACAGCCTTCTGGTTTTCCTTCAGGGAACAGCCCTTCCCCCATTTCACTGGGTCTTAGTCTGGCTGACAACCATAATGCCTAACCATCCCCACCCCCACCCCAGCCCCAGCCCATACACACACACCTCACCTGGGAGGTACGGCCTGACCCAAGCGAGGCCAACCAGACCCTCCCTCCCAAGTAGGTGAGTCACAGGCAGACAACTAGAGAGGGGCTAAACCTCGTTCTCCAAAGGCAGCACCTGAAATGACTGTTCATGAGGGTTTGCTCCTGAGACCCCTAACACTGCCTTGATTCTTCTCCCCAACATCTTCTTGTTCAACTCTTCCTTCGATTCTCTCCCTTCAGCTCTGGGAGTTATGGAGTATCGTTCCAATAAATCCCTGTTTCATTACTTAAGGTGGAGTCAAAATCTCCTCCTTGCAACCGAAGAACTTATACCCGGTATACAGCCTATAACGATTGAGAGAACAAATTCACAGCCCACTTGCTGTTCATATTCTTGTTCTTCCTAATACTCTATTTTGTCCCAAACTAATATCAACCTATAAACATAATGTCGTTGGAGAAAGAGGAGGAAGTGAGAATGTGCTGGATGTATGGAAGCAGAGAAGCTGACCTCTCCGGCTCTGTGTTGGTAGAAGAGTCGCATTTCTGCCTCTGTCATAGTTCTCTCTTCATTTGTTAAAATGTCAAACCCAGCTTCTTGGATCTGTAATTATATATATAAATACATATACATACACACACACACATATTCTAAAAGGGTAAATCAAGCACACACACACACACACAGACACACACACACACACATTCTAAAAGGGTAAATCAAGCACAAGTTCTCATTTAAATGTGTTGAGAAGTAAGAGATAATGGAGAACACCATTATTAAAAGCAGTGGATACCCTCATCATCATATCTGTCCCAATTCGATTTCAGATTTTTAATTTACTTAAATGGAGTCTTGGTTAAAACTCCTTAGAAGCCTTCTTTTTCCTACTAGGACACTGCTGCACAATGCCCTGCCCCTGTTTTTCCACCAGAGAAGACATGAAGACAGTCGGTAGGGTAAGTGTTCTCTCTCTTACCTTCATAATAATCTCATCAGTCTTTCCATGGACAACTGCATCTGGTTTAATGATTGCCAAGGTACAGGACTTCTCTGATGAAACTGCAATAAGTCGAGGATGGTGCTGTCAGACTCTGGGCTCTCAGGAGGCCGTCCACAGGGACCATGCAGCCTCCCAGAGTTCCCTCTCCTGGCCTCTTAATTTGTGCCCCTGCAGATCTAGACTCTAGTAGAAGAGTGAGTCAGGCTCTCCACCTCAACCTCAACCCGGCTGGAAGGGACAGAGATATGCGAGGGACAGAAACCTGGGAAGGAAGGAGTGGAGGAGGGAAGAGGGGAAGAGATTAAAGACTACTCAGGAACAGAAACCCAGAAATCCTGGAAGAGTCAGCCTGTGGGTGGGGGGAGGGGCGGAGGGAGCTGGAGCAGAGGCAGTGCAGGACTGGCCACTCTTGTCTTTTCCGGTCACCCTCTCATAATTTTTGACCTCTGACTGCTGTCTACTGTGTTCTCCTCTTACTCTACTGGCTTCTTGGCCAACTTTTCTTTTTGACTTTCCTGACCTGTGGCCAATAATGGCTCCCCTTGGCCCTGAGTCGACATGACTTTTCAGCACTAACACATACTACCAGATTGCAGCATCGGTCTTCTCTGTCTCAGTCCAAATGCTCCTAAGAGAAGGCCAGATTGGCCAGCTTGCTGTGTGGAGTCAAGGCACCAGTCATAGCTCACTGACCAGTCTCCTGACAGGCTGTCCTTTGGTCAGTGTCCATCGGTTCAACCAGTTGGGGTGCTGAAGAAGGTGCCACATGATTGTCGTTCACCACTCAGGCCCGCGAAAGCTGTAGGGAGCCCTGTGTCCACTCCATGAGCTCACCCCTGTTGTGTTCCTATTTCTACATACCTGGCTTTGGTGAGCTACCTACACTTTCCCACAGGTTTTGGTATCCCCACAGTCTATTTTTTGTTATCAACTTTTACATCGGTTGTGTTGCAACGAAACTTGACAATATCTGCATTTGAGGAGGGCCTCCCACTCTGGAAATCTCAAAAATATGTGAATCGTTTTAAGCAACAACCCTATTCATTTTCTCTGAGTACTATTTCTAACATCCTATGAACACTTAGACTTTAAGAGACTCTTACAGTAAGTTTTCTTATAAATCGAGCAATGCGTGAGAACAGCTAGAAGTGTAAGGTGACAAGGGAAGAGGCTAGACCAGGGGCCTGGACAACTCCGGCCTGAAAAGGGAGCGGAAGAAACGAAGCCAGTGGAGACAAAGCTGCAGAAAGGCCAGAGATATAGAAAGAAAATGAGAAAAGGTTACGAAACCAAGAGACAAGAGGGTTTTGAGAACGAATACATTTTGACAACATCCAAATCTGCAGAAAGAGGCCATAGGAAATAACTGGAAATGGCCCCTTGGATTTGGCACAAAGAAGGTCACTGGTGCCCTGGGGAGCATCAGTTTCGGGGGGAGCAGGCGCAGAGGCCAGATCAGCAAGTCAGGGCAGGAGCAGAAGGTGGGCCAAGGAGTAGAGGAAGCTCAGTGTGAAGGGGAGGAAGGCTATGGGCAAGGACAGGGTTTTGTGTTTTCTAGGTGGAGAGACTTGATTTGACGGGAAATAATGGGGGGAGGGCAGAAAGAAGAGATAATTCGAAAAGGAGGCGACAAATGTTTCCTGTAGAAGCCAAATCAATCGTTTTTCTTTTCACACTTAAAATTTTTTGCTTTTCTAAACTGAGCCTCTTTCCCGGTTAGAATCCAACTCAGAAAGTCCTGAATATTCACACACAAATAAACTGCCTTTCTACTTTATGCAAGAATCAAAATCTTCTTTCTCTTTCCAACTCAGTTCCTGAACTTAGTCCTGGTTTCCCCTGGTGTCTCGGCCGTCGTCCCGGTAACAGCGTTGCTAACTTCCGGCTTCTCTTCACGCTGTCAGGTCAAACTGTTCCTCTCACAGTGGCGGTTCGGGAAGAACTGTGATGCCCAGGCGTACAGACCCCGTGAGCTGATTCTTGGAAGATGAGGGAAAAAGGATAAGGGCTGTGTGTGTGTGTAGAGGGGGGAAGGTGTTTAGTACAGCTGACTTTCTGACGCTTCAGGAAAAAAGGCGAAAAAAAAAAAAACAAAACCGAGCTCTTTAGCTCAGATAAGGACTAAGGAAGCACCAGCATTATTACTTCACATTATTAGTGTCACTACTTTCCATTGTATTAAGTGGAGCTTCTCCCGACGCCTGGTAATTGCCACGAAAGTCACACTCGTTATATTTGAACATGATCAGAAAGCTGTGAAAAGTGCCCAAGATGCCATTAAAGGGAAGAAGGGAGATCTGACGCAGTATGTTTGAAGTTGGGGGACTGGAGACAAAAAGTTTTATAGTTAATCTTCCCAGAGTTCAGATTGCTCAATAAGCTGATTACTCACATATATTTTTGAAAACGCATCAAATCTGAGTCTGCTTGGCCTTTTTGCCTTGCTTGTTGGCTCTACACTCACCCACGTCCTCATCTTCACCACCGTCCTTTTCGTGAGAAAAACGTTCATCTTCATCAGAAAGAGCCTCGTCTTTAATCTAGTGTAGATTGGTCATGAACAGAAAGCAGTCGGCTAATTAAAATCACTACAGAGACTTTTAAAAACCTGAAGAAACCAAAAAAGTAAAGGTCCAAAATATAAGAGCCAAAAAAAAGATGATCAGTTTTGGAAACTATGAGATCCTTTTTCATAGTTGGGTAATGGAGGGGAGTGAGAGCATTCAGAGACGGGGAAATCCGTGCGGATCTTAAAGTTTAGATTCTTTTCGTTTTCACAAGCATTGAGCAGATACGAAGGAGAAAGAAAGACAAAATAGAGAGTTGGCGAGAAGGCAGGAGAAGAATTGAAATGCGAGGGAATATTAAGTGACTAGCTACGCGGTGCAGGGAGGTAGTAAGGAGGGAGCTTGTTTTCTCCCGGAGGAGGCAGAGAATTTGTGATTGTCTTTCTTGGGGGCTGCCAATATTCTGGGGTAAAATATGATTTGTTTTTCATCCATTCTATCAAAATAGGCCTTTGCTATTTGAAACCGAATATGAAAACTTGAACAGTGAACATTAAACAACGTTAAGGCTCTTTTGGCAGATGCTCAAAGCACCAGGAAATACCTCTCTCGACCTAAGGTGTGTCACTTTTCAGAGGCGGCTGATTCTTTGTCTGTGTTATCATAGAAACAATTCGTTAAAATCACAAGTTATGCTGACCCTATTTCTCGTGGTCACGATAGAGCTTAATTTCTCAATTTAAGACATGAACCCGCTAGAATCAGAAGTTAAACTTTCAAGAAGGTGAGGTGAGGACGGCAGGTCACCAGGAGAGATTTCGTCCTGAGGCTGCATTTCTCCTACCCACTGCGTGATTCCATAACTTTATTTTTATTTCCGAGTTCATTGTCAGTGATCCAGAAACCCCTGTTGCAAGTTGAAGTGGGAGATGCAAGGCAAATGGATAAAAGAAGATAAAGTGTTCTGGATGAAGGGGGTGACTTTTTAAAAGAAAGCTTCAAAATGCATACATGTCATAGTGGGCATAACGCTTGCTCTCCCCTGAACTCTCAGTGAGGACGCAGGTGAGCATTTAATGAAGCTTCCAGCTGATCGCGCCAGGAAAATTAGTTGGGGAAGGGGAGGCAATGGCTGGCCTCACCCCAGGAGCACACCTGTGAGCTTACCACTTTCCGTTCTCTGCCTTCGGCCAACACCTTCTTTTCAGCCTCCAGCTGGTCTAGGATGGTTTTCTGCAGCAGTGGGGCATTTGCTCCTCTAACCACAGCCACCAATTCTCCTCCCTGGAATGCAGGACAAATGTGCTGCTCAAGCCACATGAAACCCTCTTCCCAGATATTAATCTCTTTCAAGGCCAGTGGGAGAGTCCAAGAGCTTTGTTTAGCAGTGTGCCCAAGGTCAAGGTTCAAAGCCTCCACCCCTCCTCTGCCTTCCACCCCATGCCTCCTCCTTTCCAAATGTCTTTCAGAGCAACAGGGAGTTAGTTAAGAGAGGGAGAGGGCACACTAGGTTGTGAGTTACTCAGTGTGGCCTACATGTGGCTCATTCACTCAACAAATACCTATTGGGCACTTACTCTGCCAAGCACCAGACAGAGGCAAAGAATATGAACAATAAACATGAAAAGACATAGTCGCCACTCCCAGGGAATGAGAAGCTTGGTGGGCAGAGAGGTGGTCATGTCAAAGAAACAATTACAATAGAACAAGACCATTGCTTTAATAGGGGAATGTACAGGATTCTTAGAATTTAGAGCAAGACTCGATTCCCAACTCTGTCTGGGGTAGTCGGGTGGAGGTGGTATTTGGGGTGAACTTCAATTTCTTGCTTCAACTTTTTCAGCAGCCTCTATGCATATTACGCAGAAAGGAGTGATCTAGAGAGGGAGAAGTTCATGTAGAGTGGGTCCCCCCTGTGTCCACCCGCCCCAGTGAACCTCCCCACAGGGCGAGAGATTGTGATGGAGCCTGCCGGCTGGGCACATGTCCCAACACAGCTGATTATGATGATGCTTTAATCACTACAGGCTCAAGCAAGCAAACCACGTAGTAATGATCCCTTTTCTACAACTGTGCCTTGATGTCAGTTTTACTGTGGGCACATTCTTCTCAACTCCTTCCCATTTCTCCTTCCTGCTTCCACCCATGTTTCATCATATAACTTCAGTCTCCCTACTAAAACCCAAGGCTCAAATAATGTTTTATCATGAACTTCCAATTTATAATACTTTCAGTGCTGAGAACAGGAGCCCAAAGCTTTCCAAACTAAAGAGCCCTGGCCTGTCTATCAGGTGGCCTGGGGGAAGTAGGGGAGGCCCAGTTGCCCTGATGTATGATGAGAGGCTGGACCAGGCCAGGAGGAGCATATCAGGTGTTGCCTTCAAGGCCTGGCAGGTGACCTAAACCTAGGAAGCCAGATGTGACAGTGGACCCTAAGGGTCATGGAGCAGAGCATGGATGTCACACACAGAGACATCCAAATGAACTTCAAAACACTGAACCACTTGACTTTCCTCAACGGCCCCTCTCTTTTCTGACATTCTATAAACATATCTTCATGTTTTATGATTAAATAAAGGTGAATGCAGAGCTTGTCCACCCCACAAAGGGAGAATTCGTGTTCGCTGGAAGTTCCCCTCTATGGAGCAGAGGATAGAGAGCTTGAAACTCTGTTCTCTGAGAGTGAAATCTCAGTCAAGAGTGTTTGAGAGCCAGAAGGAGCATATGCATTTGATGATTCCTATTCTGTATAGCTGGTCAGGAAGTCTGCCCAAGCTCAGAGCGACCTGGGACTTGTGCCATCCACCCCTCACTGCCAGCAAGCAGTGCCCTCAGACCGCCATCCCAATCAAGGGCCTGCATTACCATGACTGAAGGACATTGTTCTTAGCCTAAATAAGGACGGCCAAGGAGAAAACCACATGACTCGTCTGAATCGGCGAGGCTCCCTGGTGACTCCCAGTGAGAATTAATGCCAATGAGACTCATCTCTCTGAATGCCAATGATGTGCAACCATCAAATACTTCTGGTTCTGAAAATGTACTTACTGCGTAAAACAGAAAGGTCGGCTCACACCTCCCGCGGTATTTTTCAAGGACATCGAGACTGTCTGCCTCCGCCTAAAGAAAACAAGCTGTTGGCGGGACCCTGGGGCACACAGCATGTACAGGGGCATGATGGCAGGAGAACTGCACAGGACAATTCACACACACACACACACCACACACACACACACACCACACATACCACACACACACACACACCACACATACTACACACATACCACACACACACATACCACACACACACACACACCACGCATACCACACACACACACACACACACACACACACCACACACATGATGACCACCCTCCTCAGGTGAAACCCTGGCTCGCTCTCATGCTTCTCCTTTTATTGTTTTTCATCAGAATCATAACAACTGTCCTCTCAACATATTGGCAGAAACTGTTGGCAGTGTACTTTTAAGAATAAAACGAGGAGCGAACAACGGTTTCTCCTGCTCCCCACCTAGCTGCCCCTCCGCTAACATCGTCGCTGCCATGATGGGCAGGGCAGCCACAGAGCGGGCAGGTCCTCCATGAGGAACCCCGTACATGGACATAACGACTCCCCGTCCAGGCATTTCCTGCACACATGCCACAGAAGTGTCAAAACTGATGCCTAAGGGAGGAAGGGCAAAGTCCACGAAGTCAAACTTGTTGTGAGCTTAGCGTGAGGTTTATTTTCTCCTGTGTTCTATCTATGAGCCTCAAACCTATGCAGCTTATCTAACGACTCTTACATACTTCTGTGGAATTTCTTCCCATTTCCATACATTAATCCAAGTAAACATTTGCACAAAGTTCCCCTTTATGGAGCAGAGGATGGAAACCTTGAAACCCTGTGCTCTGAAAGTGAAACTTCAGCGTTCACGGCATTGTGAGCCAAGGAGGAGCACACGCACTGGAGTGACGCATGTTCCGTCCCTGCATACAGCATCCAGAGACTGCGCCAGCCCAGGGGACTGTCAGCGAGCCGGGCCTGGAGTGGGAATCTTCATCTCTCAAGAAATTATGAAGTATCAGACTGATAACAGAAAAATCCACAGCTGATGCCTTCTCAACAATCTGTAAAAAGGCAGCTCACACTTCCTGTTCCTGTTTTTAAATGTTTTAACAATGTTTTATGACATTCTGCTGAGAGAGGTCTCACCAATGCAAAATGCAGAAGGTCCAGGCCAACCTCGATCCTCATCTTCTGGAACAGGCTCACCACGGGTCTGCAGGGGCCACACCAGCCTTGGTAGACGTCAACAACTGTGTGGGACCAAGAAGCAGGAACGTTCAGTGAGCACCAGTGCCCACCATGTCAGGCAAAATTCATCCCGGCGCATTCTAACCCCCTCAGATGGATATCTGTTGGCAGGGATATTAATGGTTATAGACATTTATTATCCCATCAGACTATGAACAAGCATGGAAACACAGCTACTCCTCATTCTTAGGAACTCAGTGTTCTGAATTTTAAACGTAACGAAGTAGATAGAGTGAAGAATCATTTTCTCAGCATGGACCTTAAGGAATTTTCAGGCTACATTCAGGGTCAGGCCTAGCCCAGAATGGCTGTCAATAAATATTTGAGCTGGACTGAACCCATGGAGTCTAAAAGGAAGAAGTCACTGTAGGTGACCTGTCAATCAACTCTTAGCTACTTCGATAATAAACACAGCTTTGGCCTTTCCCCTTGATGAATTGAAAGCCCCTTGCTTAGGGTAGAGAGTTTTATTTACTCTATACAATCAACACTGTTTTCCTGGAAAATTAACCTGATAGAGAGTAGGTGGAAACTCGGATACCTTTTTCTTCTTTGGTCCCAATCAGTAGAGTGTGCCAGGGCTGGGTGTGAAGGAACATCTCATCTGCCCTCCACCATAAGGCCTGTAAGGAAGCTAGGCCAGCTCATGAGCACTGATACATATGGAATCATGAAGATACAGCAAGTGCTAAATTGGGATATACCCATGGTCACATTTTAAAGGAAGGATGTCCTCCAAAACCCTCAACACTCAGACATCACGCCAAATCCACACAGGTGGGCATTTCTGTTCAGCAGCTAGCATGGCACGATCACAGGGAGATAATATAGACCCTGTATATAAACCATCAGGTCTGCCAAAACATTATAGCATGCAATTTGTGATTTTATTTTTTGAAGATTCACTTCACGTTTTTCCCATCATGTGAGAACTATGAATAAAACACGATATAAATTATCATTAGTAAAATCGGCATAGACTCTGGCAGCACAGGACCGTACTAATCAGGGAAGGAAGGCTTCCCAGTGGAGGGGTGACTTGCATTGGGCATTGTGGGAAATGCCAGGCTTTGATGGGCAGAGAGGGAGGCCATGGTGGAAGCATGGGCAGCCAGGCACAGATGGAGGGTTCAGGGGCTGCTGGGCAGCATGCTGGACCAGACCTGCCTGGGGGCGGGCTATGGGAAGTGGTGGCAGAGACCACTGAAGGAGTGTGGAATGTGGGTTTGTGGAGTTTCATCCTGATTTCTAGGAAATGAGGAATCACAGTAAGTTTTAGAAAGGAGAGGGAGTTAATCTATACTAAGTGGCAAGGGGGCACCTGAACTTCACTTTTCTCTAAAAACAAACAAACAAACAAAAACCAGACAATGAAATGCATATTATTATCCCCCAAACAAACAAACAAACAAAAACCAGACAATGAAATGCATATTATTATCCCACTACAGAAATGAAAAAACTGAAGTTCAAAGAGATAAAGTTACTGACCCATGGTAAAAAAATAAAAATTCTCAAGCAGTAGAACCAAATTTCGAACCCAGGTTTGTCTGATGCCATAACCCAACTTTTTCAGCTGCTCCAGGAAAGAAGGAAAGATGCACGAATTCAGGACTATTGGTTGGTTCAGCCTAACGTCAGAGTTTGGCAGAGAAAGTGAGAACCAAACTGGGTATGGGAGGGATGAGGAAGCCAGACACGGGGGTGGCAGTAGGGATGGGAGGGAAGGAACAGAAGAATCCATGCGACTTTGAAAGGGAGGCTGAAAGACTGGGCGTGAAAGTAATGTGGATGTGCAAAGGACTCCACCTTTGAGCCTGGCAGAGAAAAAGAACTGGGTGGAGGCAGGGAGAGACTGTTTGAGGGAGAAAAGTGAACTCGATTCTAGATACACTGTGTTTCCAGTGCCAACCGGAGACTCTAAGCAAGTGGCCCCAAAGGCAGCCAGGCACCAGCAGGGGCAGGAGCAGGGTTCGGGCTCCTCGGCACCTAGGGTGGGGGTGGAGCCCTGGGTTTCTCTGAAGAAGACGACTTCACAGTTGAGGTACTTGGGGATTTCAATACACCAAATTAATGGGTGAGAAAGGCATTTGGGTCAAGCCAGAGAAAAGTCTTTGAAGACTTAGAGGACTCTGTATCCAGGCCCACCAAGCCCCAGTGGAAGAAAATTGGGGCCCAGTTAGCTATAAATCTCTATGTAAGATTTGCATCGATAGTTCTGCCCAGTCATTTGTATCAGCTTCCCATCTCCTCTTGCGCACCCTGGCTCCCCAAGGAGTGGTGTGGACGAAGGGGGGCAGGGACTAGAGAAGTACATGAAGAGTTTGGTTCTGAAAGGCAGGAAGCAAAACAGAGAGGATACCTGGAAGGAATGGTAGAGAAAATGAAAAGGGGCGTGTGTGTGTGTGTGTGTGTGCGTGTGTGTGTGCGCGCGTGCGTGTATGCATGCACGGGTATATCTGAATAGACTACTGCATGTTGGAAGGCAGATGAAAGTAAGCTAACAGAAGGCAAGACTTCCAAGATGGTGGTTGACTCTGGAAGCAAATTTCTGCTGGCTCTAGAAAGAGGGACAAGCATGTCTTCCTTGAGACTGCCTGATGAGAAGGGGCAGACGAGCCCCTGCTGCCTTCCGTCAACACAGACCTTTGCACAGCTTAGAGCAAGGTAGAGAGTCTACACACAATACATGTTAGCTATGATCACATAGAGCAGATTCTCAAAAGTCGATGAGGGAATAGTTTTCTAACTGCTGTTAAAAAAAAAATAGAAGTTTCCCCTGGAGCCATGTTCTAGTTGCACAGACGAGACACATGGACAAAACAGTTAAGACTTGGCACCATCAAAAAAGCTTTGTAATTCTTCAAGTAGTAAAGTGTGGCAAGACTTCCACCCACGCTACTGGATCAATGCAACCAGCATTTATTTAGCACCCACTCAGCCCCAGGCCTGGGCAAGTCAGCGACAGATGGAGATGAAAAAGACAATGCCACCTGGTTTAAACTCTAAGGGGAAAGCCATGAGGGCCACCACATGGGGAACACCAAGCTAGGTGTATGCTGGGGGCGTTGAGATGGAGTCCCAGCAAATGCCCTAGAGACTACCAGGGAGAAGTGAGCACACAGAGGTTCAAGAAAGCTGTCATGCAGGGAGGCTGCTTTTGGGCTGGCCCTGGAAATGAGGAAGATCTCTACAGGTTGTGATGGGGCCATATTCCAGACAGTAGGAACAACACGCATAAAAGCGAAGAAGGGGGAAAACCTCTGGCATGTTCAGGAAACAGGTTGGAGCTCAGAACACACAGAGAACAGGTGATTATGAGTCTAGAAAGATAGATTGTGTCATAAGAGGGTGGGGGGCAGTGACAACAGAGAGAGATAAGAGCAGATATAAGCTGATTGATCTAGTATATTGATGGAGAGAAGAACTGAGCAGACGCATATGCACAGAGAGAAATGGAGCCCAGAGATATCTAAAGTAAATGAAGAAGAAAGAGGAATAGTGGGGGAGTGGGGTGTGGTAGGCAGCCTCTAAGATTCCTCCGGTGATTCCTGTCTCCAGGGATTTATGCCTTTGTGTACTCCTCTGCCCTAGAATGTGGGCGGGGACTCTAGTGGCTGGTTTCTAACAAATAGAATATGGCAAGAAGCAATGGGATGTCACTTTTGAGATTGGGTTACAAAAAGACTATGACTTTCACCTCTCTCTCTCCCTGCTCCTCTTGTGTGTGTGCGCGTCTCTCTCTCTCTCTCTCTCTCCACCCCCCCACCCCAACCCCCCTGTCTCCCTTCCTCCCTCCTTCCCTCCTTCCCTCCTTCCTTCCTTCCCTCCTTCCTTCCTTCCCTCTCCCTCTTCCTCTCTGCCCTGCTCTGCGGGAAGCAAGTTACCATGTTGTGAGTAACCTTGTAGAGAAATTAATGAAATTAATGGCAAGAAATTAGTGTCTCTGACCAACAGACAACAAGGAGCCGAATCCTGCCAATAGGCACATGAAAGAACTTGGAAACGACCTTCTAAGATCTGCCAAAGCCACATGACAAAGCTTGGAAACAAATTTGACAAAGCTGAGCCTTGACATTCCCTGTCTAACTTCTTAAATGCAATTTGGTGAGGAACCCTGAGCCAGAGGCACCCAGCTAAACAACACCTGAATTCTGGACCCACAGAAACTGTGGGATAATAAATGTTTATTGTTGTAAACCACTAAATTTGGGGCTAAATTGTTGTACAACAATAGGTAACTGACACAAGGAGGATCAAGGACAGTGGCTGTGCTGTTTCCTAATGACCATGCATGTAGTTCCTAGTTCCAGCCCCTTGGGATAACTGGCTCTCCTTCCGGCCCTTGAGTTCCAAGGGATCGTGATATTCCTTCCAGGGCCCTCCCCTTTCGTGCCTCAGGTAATTAGAAGAAGGTTCTGTTTCTTAAAACCAAACAACACCTGAGTGTGACAAATCACCTCTAAAACAAAGGAACCCTGTTATCTGCCGGCACTGACTAGTTTCTTGTACTGAACTTACCAACAGGTGTTCAAGCCAGATATGTATGTACAAAGAAATTACCTGGTTCTTTATTCATGAAAATCAAGGTTATAGGAAAATGGTGGTCATTGCAGCTTTTCTCTTCATGATTCAAATCTGTCACTTGGCAATTTTGAAAAGAATAGATCTAAAAAGATTATCTTAAATTACCAGTTACTCCTTTGGAACTGAGCATTTCTTCCCAAAGCTCCTGGGTGCTGATGTTGACCTAACATCAAAGAGGAACAAACACTGTATTACTGAGAGCACCGATGTGGCAACAATTTAATACATTTGCTCGATCCAGATTCCCTCTCTCTCACTCTCCCTCAATGAAATAGTTACAAACACAACTCGAGCTGTCCTCTTTCCCCAATCTTCTTTTCTTTTTCTCTCTCTCCCTGCCTCCTTCCCCAGGAACAATAAACACTATCCTAAGAAAATCTCAGATATTTTTAAGAAAGTAATTTTTACTTGTTACTTGTCCACGAACAATACATAAAATTGTTTTGTGCCTGCAAATGTACATAAATAGTAACATATTGTAGATATTCTTTTGTAATTTGTATTTTCATTCAACAATGTTTTGACATTTTTATTTATGCACAGATACTTGTTTTTTCTTTTTTGTCTTCTTATACATTTTATTGATATAAATTATGTAGCTTGAAATATACAGAATAACGTGTTACGGTCCGATGAGTTTTGGCAAATGTGTACATCCATGTAACCACATCCCTATCACAACACGGAACATTTCCATCACCCCAGAAAGTTCCCTCATGTCTCCTCCCGGGCACTGCCCTCTCCCCACCCTAGGTAGTCACTGATCTGCTTTCTGTCACAACAGACTTGTTCTGCCTATTCTGAAACTTCATGTAAATTAAATAATACAGCATATATTATTTTTTGCTGGCTTTTTTCATTAGAATATTTTAAGGATCCATCTGTGTAGTTATGTGTCAGTAATTCATTTTTATTCCTAAGCAAATTCCATTGTATGACTATATCATAATTTGCTTGATGGATATTTGGGTTACTTCCAATTTGGAGCTATTATGAATAAAAACTTATGACCATTCTTGTTAAATCTTACTGAGTTTATGTTTTCCTTTCTCTTTGGTCAGTAAATACCTAGGAGTCAAGTTGCTAGGACATAGGGTAAATGTATGTTCAATGTAATAAGAAACTGCCTGCACTTTTCCTAAAGTGGTTGTACCATTTTAAACTTCCATTAGCAAAGTATTAGAGTTCTAGTTGCTCCACATTCACAGCAATATTTGATGATGTCTTTTTTTTTTTTAGCCACACTAACGGTAATATAGTGATATCTCGTTATAGCTGTAATTTCATTTTCCTGGTGACTAATAGTGTTGAGCATTATTTAATGTTCTTATCAGCCATTTGTATATCTCCTCTGAGAAGTGCCCATTGGCTGTTCATTTCCTTTACTGGATTGTTGGACTTTTTATTAGATTATAGAGGGTTTCTTAATATATTTTGGGTATAAGCTCTTTGTCAGAATTATGTATTGTAAATATTTTCTCTAAGTCTGTGGTTCATCTATTCATTTCCTTAATAGTTAGTATCTTTTGTTGAACAGAAGTTTTAATATTAATCAAATCTAATTTATGAAATTTGTTTTATAATTAGTGCTTTCTATGTCCTTCTGAAAAAAATCTTTCCTCAAAGTCACTAAGATGCTCTCCTATTTTCTTCTAAAAGCTTTATAATTTAAGCTTTCATATTTAAGTTTGTGACCCATCTGAAATTAATTTCTATGTGTGTTACAAGGGAAAGATTGTGGTTAATTTTCTTCCATGTAGACATACAGTTGTTTCTACAAAATTTGTTGAAAAGATTTATTTCCCCATAAAACCGTTTTGGTCCTTTTGTTGAAAACCAATTGACTGCATAAGTATGGGTTTATTTTGGATTCTATTCTGTTTCATTGACCTATTTATCTATTTTTATGCCAGTACCACAATATTTTGATTAGTGTAGCTTTATAATAAATCTTGGAATCAGGCAGTGTGAGGCCTCCATATTTGTTCTTCTTTTTCAAGATTATTTTGGCTATTCTAGGTCCTTTGCTTTTCTATATACATTTTAGAACCAGCCTGGCAATTTCTGCAAAAGCTCCTATAGAGATTTGAATTAGGATTGCATTGATTCCATGGTTCAATTTAGGAAAAAATTGAAATATTAACAACCTTGAGTCTTCCAGTCCGTGAATATGACGTTTCTCATCATTTATTAAATCTTCCTTCATTTCCTTAGCAATGTTTTGTAGTTCTGTATATGCATTTTTCACTTTTTGTTAAATATATCCAAATATCCACATCAGAAATAATTAACAGTTAAATTTATTGCCATTTCTTCACATTGTTTTCTTATCTACAAAGTATTCTGGTTTACATCAAAAATTAAATTCAAGGAGAAATACATATTATCCTCTTTATAAATAGTATAAAGTATATATTTTTATATAATGTTTTTATTTTGAAACAATTTCAAACTTACAGAAAATATGCAAGTATAGTATAAAGGACTTTTTTTCCTTCGAATTATTTGAAAGTAAATTACCAACCTGACATCCCATTATTCCTGAATACATACATTATCCTACATAACCACAATACAACCATCAAAATCGGGAAATAAACTCTGAGCCTCAGACCCTATTCTAGTTTTACCAATTGTTCCAATAAAGTCCTCAATAGCAAAGTCTCCAATCAAATCATGTGTTAGATCTGTCAAGTCTCTTTAGTTTCCTTCAGTCTAGAATAGTTCTTCAGTCTTTCTTTGATTTTTATGACCTCGACACTTTTGAAGACTACATGCTGGTTATTTTGCAGAATGTCCCTCAGTTTGGGTGTGTCTGATGTTTCCTGCTGTTTTTTTGCTGTGCATCTTCTGCTATTGGTTGGAACTGGTTGGAATTGGTTGGAACTGGTTGGAACTGGTTGGAATTGGTTGGAGTGTCAGAGAAGCAGATGAGTGTTCCTCTCATTGTATCCTATCAGGTGACACACAATTTCCATCTGCCTCATTACTGCTGGTGTTCACTTTGATCATTTGATTAAGGTGGCCTGCCAGGCCCCTCCACTGTAAAATTATTCTTTCCCTTTGTAATTAGTAAGTTTTTGTGGGGAGCTGTTTTGAAACTATATACATTAAAAGACCATGACAATTACTACTTGTTCTTAAAACAGGTATGCTAAGGTCTTTGTTTCTTTAAATGGGCTGAAAACATATAATATCTGCAAATCCTCTATCAAAGCTCCATTTTTCTGAAGAAATCATGCGTCCTAACTTTTTTGTTTTGATTTAAAAAAAGAAAAAAAGAAAAACTAGAAAAGTCTTCTCGATGCCTTAAATGAGATGAGAGAGTTGGACTGATGTCATGCTGGGCCCACAACTGTAGTTCCAAGGAAAGCGATGGAAAGGTTCAGAAGAGCCCCCACCGCCCCCTCTCACAACAGTCACTTTCAAAGGCTCATCTGTCAGTCAGTGGCAGCGATCTGTGGAGCATCCCTGTGGTGGAATGAGCTATGCCACACCAGCAGTGAGGCCAGGGGCCTTTGGACAGTTGAAGAATTTCTCTCCTAGGAGCAGGAACGGAACAGTATGGGGTATGGAATGAATGGGGAATGTATGGCACCTTTTGACCACACTGTCTCTGGATGTCTTAACGATTTCTGTCTCAGTTGCAGAAAGAACCCTAAATAGTCTTACCCAGAAAGAGGACAGGGTTCCTAGGATGACAGACCATAGAGCATTGCTCTCAAGGAGTTGACCTGGTAGAGAGACAATGCTTACACAGACGCCTCAGTACACACCCCCTTTCCCTCCCCCCTCAGCAGATGGGAACACTTACTTTGAGTACAGCATTACACTCAGAGCTCTGGGTAAGACAGATGAAAAATGATTGCTAAAAACTGTTATTACCCCCAAAGGGGATATATGGTATAGACACATGAAAGGATAATCATATGAGGCAAAAATCTTAGAGCCACCGGAGACAGCATTCAGACCAGCATGGAGGTATCTAAAGGAGTCTATCACAACAACTCTGCAGGTTATATATTATCCCTCCTGTTTACAAAAAGGATTTAGAGGCTCAGAGAGGTTGAGGAAATCCTTCAGGCAGCAATAAGTGCTAGGACCAGGTGCTTAGAATTTATTTAAAGACAGAATGTAGACAGATGGAAAGTTTCATAACTCTAGACTACCAGAACATCAAGGCTAGAAGGCCCTAAGGGTTGATTCATCCAACATCCTCATTCTACAGATGGGTAAGCTTATATAGCCGTGGGAGGTTATGTGATTATCCAAAGTCCCAGAGTTGGCTAAGAGAAGAATCAAGAACTACATCAGGTCTTTGGGCTTCCAGTCCAAAGCTCTTTCCTCCTTCTATATGCTATCCTTAGACTGACATTGCTTTCTTGCTTTCTAAATCACTAAGCTTTTGAAATTCTTGTGCAAAGTGCTGGTACCACCAAGGACAATGAAAGAGAAATCATGTGTCTCAAGACCACTGTTGCTCTACTATCCAGGAGGTATCCTGATGGGTAGAACTAACTATCAGGCATTTTTAAGTGCACTTTAAAATGTACCCATATAACAGATAATCCATATGGTCTCCTTATGACAAAGCACTCCCTCCCAATTCTATGGCAGGTGCCTGCATGTTTGTACTTTCATTTTAGAATCACTCACTACTTATTGTCCAGGACCAGAAAAAAAGAGCAAATGCTGGCTTACAGATTCACTTGTCCTAGGCACAAATGAAGGAAGGCACTTTATATGAAAAAATGCACAGCACATAAAATAGCAAAACATATTTGTTAAATAAATGAATGAATGAAAAGAGCAGTTGTGAGAGAACCAGGTCTCTGGAGAGCACACAGTTACAGATGCATGCCCAAGCTCAAAAGAACCTATATTATATTCTTGCAGTAAGTTCCAATTATATTTAAACAAACAAACAAAAAAGTTATACTAAATTATATTGCTCAATATTTTCTTGGTTTTGTAGTTTTATTTTAACTCATGTTTGGATTTTAAGGCCGCATAAGCATTATAAGCATAAAGAACTTAAACCTAATGTTATGTTTGCTTATAGTCAAGTGTACAAAAAAATTTGTCCCCACTAGGGGTCCTAGATCTATATTCAAGTTTGAGAACACTATCATATACTGCCAGCAAACAGAACATCACTTCTATATTACACTTTCCGTTCCACACTGTCCTCCTCATCCCTCAATCCCAACTTAGTGTTGGTAGCAAGCTTACCTGCAGGGCAGTTTCCTTCTTCTTGCTGCCCATGGCCCTGCAAAGAAAACAGAAGCCCTGTTACTGCTGGCTGGAGCCTGCCCCGGGCCGCAGCCTCTGAACAGCTGCGCGGATCAGCGAGCCTCCTTTAGACAAAGCATCCCCTCCCCAACCACTCGTCCCTTTAAGGTAAATATAAGTGGGAGCAAATAAATGCACTGATGAAAAATAAACACTGCACAGGGGAAGCGGAACCTGCAGCCCATGAGCCTGTGGCTTGCCAGGGAGTTTTTCTGCGGATTTGTGAAACCCCTTCCTAGCCGCAGAGCCTGCCGAATGGCGCGCGCAGAGGCCGGAGTAAGAGCTCCAGGCGATTGCATCCGAGCTTCGGCACAAGAATTCGGGCGGAAAAAAAGGCCACAAAACACTTATTCCTACTGTTAAATGTATTCCTGGGAAATTGAAACACGGCGTACTCTTTCGACAGGTACACGGTCTTAAACGTGCAGCTAGAGTTTCCAACTCAGTCTGCGGCAACCCAGCCACGGTCGTCATGGCAACACAGCCTAATGCCAAATCAGCCAGGTAATAAACATGCGTACATGTAAGCCGCGCCCCCTCTGAGCCCTGCGGAAAGGCAGGAGGGAGTCCCGCCCCCTGCCTTCGGAATTGGACTGAATGAACGCTTTCATTGGCTGAGGCGTTTGTCAGTATCTGGGGGATTTGGACCCACTCAGCAGAGACCACGTGTTTCTAGGTATATACAATTGCATCGCTGAATCCCTGCATCCCCCCTGCCCCATCAGGGCTGGTGTGCAGGGTTTTTTTTTTTTTACCGTTTCTTAATGCATACCAGGAAGAGTGGCTCCCCTTTTTGAAACCTAGGGCG